TGGAGTGATGTTCCACTTGTTATCTCATTAATAAAATGCTCTCTTCTTGATGTTCCCTTGTTTGCTTTACCACCTCGTACCTTTGGATGTGTTTCCTTTGCCCATCTTTTTTATCGTCAACGTAACAAACATGAACCCCGTGATGTTAAGTATATCTTTTTGGGATATTCTACAGTTCAAAAAGGATACAAGTGTTATAATCTGTCTCTTCCTTGTCACTTTGTTAGTGTTGATGTTACTTTTCATGAGTTTACTTCATATTTCTCGTCTACCGGTCTGCTTTCTTCTCCATTGGGTGAGTCTCTTCCTCTTCCTATTCTAGTTTGTGACTCTTCTCCACATCCCTCCGGTACTACCCTTCCCAGGCCACCTATTTTAACAAGTGTATCTAAGGACGTGATTGGCTTTAGCTCCAACATCAACTACCTTACCGTCGTTTGAAGGTATTGTTGCCCCTTCTACTACTACTATTGTTACTCCAGTTGTACAACCAGCCTTAGACCTTGATTTACCTATTGCCCTTCGRAAAGGTATTCGTTCATCTACAAGACACCCTATTAGTCACTTTATTTCTTATGAGTCCTTATCACCTTCTGCCCTTGCTTTTGTTACATCCCTTTCTACAGTCTCCATTCCAAAGTCCCTACAGGAAGCCTTGTCTAATCCTAGGTAGAGTACAACTATGGAAGAAGAAATGTTGGTACTTCATCAAAATGACACATGGGATTTAGTTCATCTCCCTTATGGTAAGCAACCTGTGGAATGTAGATGGGTATATCYGTATATGTAGTGAAGTTCAACCCTAATGGTATAGTAGAGAGACTTAAAGCTCGCTTAGTTGCTAAAGGATTTATTCAAACTTATGGTTTTGATTTTGATGAAACTTTTTCTCTAGTTGCTAAGATCACCTCTACCCGTGTGGTTATTTCCTTGGTTGCAACTAATCATTGGCCCCTATATCAATTAGATATTAAGAATGCTTTCTTACATAGTGATCTTATGGAGGAAGTATACATGGAGCAACCACCTGGGTTTGTTTCTTAGGGGGAGTATAGGGGTATGGTTTGCAAGTTAAAGAAGGCATTGTATAGTCTAAAACAGTCTCCACGTGCTTGGTTTGGACAATTCAATGAAGCAATTATAGAGTTCGGCCTACATATATGTTAGTCTAATTAGTCTATGTTTAGCAAGACCTCTAATGATGGTATTATTAACCTTGTTGTCTATGTAGATGATATTGATATCATAGGGAGTGACTCATAAGGCATCAGTGAATTGAAACACTTTCTACAAGAGAAATTTAATGTTAAAGATCTTGGCAAATTGAGATATTTTCTTGGCATAAAAGTAGTGAGATTAGCTACAAGGATTTCTCTATCACAACATAAGTATACATTGGATCCACTTGAGGAGATGGGCATGACAAGATGTAAACCAGTTTCTACACCCGTGGATTCCAATACTAAGATCACTTCAAATCAGGGGGAGTTAGTTGGTGATCCTTGGCAATATAGGAGACTTGTAGGGAAGCTGAATTACTTGACTATCACCCGTCCAGACATTTGTTCCACATTGAGGGTTGTAAGTCAATTTATGACCTCTCCACATGTCCCACACCTTGAAGTTGTACACAGGATCATAAAGTACATTAAGGGATCATTGGGTATGGGAATTATGTATAAAGATTATGGTAATTTAATTGTGTCTAGGTTCACAGATGCTGACTAGGTTGGATCACCAACAGATAGGAGGTCAACAATAGGGTATTGTATGTTTTTAGGTGGCAATCCTATTTCCTAGAAGAGCAAAAAGCAAAATGTTGTAGTTAAATCAAGTCCAAAAGCTGAGTATAAAGGTATGAGTTAAGCAACAAGAGAATTAGTGTGGCTTAAGAGTCTTCTTCAAGAAATTGGAATTCCAGTGAACACTGCTATGCACTTACATTGTGATAATCAAGTTGCCATCCATATTGTACCAAATCCGGTTTTTCATGAGAGAACAAAACATATTGAAGTAGATTGCCACTTCGTTAGAGAAAGGATTCAAAGTGGTGAGATTGACACACCATATGAAGACAGGGGACCAATTAGTTGATCTATGGACCAACGCTCTGAATCGTCCTCGCATTCATTTCATCACTAACAAGCTGGGTCTTTATGATATATATACTCCAGCTTGAGGGGGAGTGTTAGAAGAATGGTCTTTCTAGGTATATTGGGTGACAGGATAGAGATGTCCTTTTATTAGGGTGTCAACGGTATTCAAAAATCCAATTTTGAATTTGATATTCGACATAATCGAATCGAATTTGGATAATTCAAATATCTAATCGATCGAATTTGAATATCCTATTCATACCGAATAGTTAGTCAGATTCAAATTCGGATATGACCTTATTCAATTCAATAAATATTTGAATTCGRCTAATTATTTAATTCTTATATATAATATATAAAATATTTTATATAATTTATATATATAATAATTAAGTAATATAAATAATTTATATACTTATATACTTTATATCAATAAAATATTTATTTTATATATTTACTAATTATCTAAAATAATTAATTAATTGAATTCAAATCGAGTCGAATATTTGAATAATTAATCAGATTCGATTTCATATATTAATTTTCAATATCCGCTAGATGTCGAATCGAATTCAGATATCGAATTTTCTAATCAGATTCTAATTCGGGTATTGCCTTATCCAATTCAAATTCGATCCGTTTATACCCTTACCTTTTATTTTATGTTTTGGACACTCTTGTCCATTATTTATCATAAACAGGGGCATATATGTAATCGAACACATATTTAGTACTAATATAAAAGGTAGGCCAACTACTTAGACAGGATTATGAAGTCTAATCCTCCTCTAAAACAGATCGGCACTTTTTTCTTTCTCTTCTCCTCCCTTCYCTCCTTTACTTTTTCTGGTTTGAATTCCATTGTAGCTTTGTTGTACCACCTTTCACAATAGGCAAGGGTCTCACGTACCGCATCTGAGATCTCTAGAGGAATGCAACTTACCAACCCACGATCCTCGAAGGTGGTTCTAACAAATAACACGTGCGGTACGGAAGTCAATTCTCTCAGGCGACATGTGATCCTAGAGGAGTCGRAGAGGATCAAACGCACACAATGGGGGTCAATCACCATGTCAGGCAGGTCGCTACTTGGACCTCAATCAAGTCTATGAGACCTCGGTGGAAGATCACGCCTCATGCCAAGGTCCCTAGCCTAGTCCTGACAAGGTGCACCAGGTAGGCCCTAGATGAGGTGGTGTCGAGCGCTCTCCCGAAGTGCACAAGGTGCATCCGAGGTGAACTCAACCTTCTTGGCAAGGGCACGTGATTGTCTACATGGCACCGAATTATTATACAACGGCTCAGAAGTGCCACGTGTTGCGATGTCACTAGAGGGCCAAATCACCCTTCATCACCTAACATTAAAGCGGAGAAGACAAAGTTATTCTCGTATACCATGATTCATCAACAGTAGGAGAGCCCTATATTTGCTATAACATGCACCAGACGTTACTTCAGTAGTGGGARCAGTTAAGTTCATGACAAATATAAGAAAGATCTTTGGACTACAAGTTATTTGACAGATGGTGATGGTTGGCAATTGTTCTAGAGAGCATTGTTCACACCATGAATAGAAACGTTTTCAAGTGGGAGAATGTCGGGTATCAGTCCCACGACTAATCCACTGAATACACCTTTAGTTTTTGCCCATGGGATAGCCGATCATATAAGAGGATAGGAGGTGAACCATTTCTCACCTCTTGTATTCTCATAACCAGCCAATAGTTACAATGGATTGAAAAATAATTTCAATCCTAGCTCTCCATTTGGGCTTCCAATCAAAGGATCTAAAATTTTCTGAAATTACCAATATRCCCCTAGTGAATACTATAAATTGGGGTTGCTTCATTTCATTGTAAATCATATCATAAGCTTATTTGTCTATATTTGGATGTATAGAGTGTTGGGTGTTGAGGATCAGGAGGATTGTCTATAAATGGTTAAAGGTGTGTACTTATTGTAATTCTAGTATATTTGCCCGTGGATGGCCAAATCACATTAAATTGGATACTCTTTCTCCCTTTTTGGCTTTTGACTATTTCGTTATTGTTTCCTTTGTGCATTTACAAATTATATTATCCACTACACTTGCAAATATTTTTCTGATGCTCGAGGAAGGGCTACCCTCGTGTTGTGTAGCCCAAGTTAATATTATTCCCTTTAATATAAAAAAACCGCCATGAATAGATTTAGCTATTTTTGGAGTTTCTCTGGATTTCTTCATTAAACATTGCTCATAAGCTATCCAACTTTTTTGTTCTTTTTTTTTTTTTTGGTATTTTAAGCTACCCGACTTGAACCCACCTCGTAAAGCAAAAAGCTGGCTGCTTTCAAGCCCTCCCAAACGGCACTGGGCGAAGAACCTGGAGAGGGCCTATTTTAAGATGTGGAACTTGTACCGCTCGGGTGGTGTAACCGACATTTTAAAGTCACGGAGAATGCTGATGAGTTCAGAATAAAGGAAAATGGCAGTAGTCAACAAGTCAAATATTGTCGGTTGGTTTTCAAATTGTGGTGCTGAAAACAGAACTACGGACGGTTGGAAATTGTTGGTTCATGTGTTAAACGCTTCGAAGGGCTGATTCAAATTCAGTTTGTAATGGTAAGGAGTTGCCTTGTAAAGAATAAAGAAAAAACAAACCAATCAAACGAGAATGCATTTCAACTAGATAATTAGTTAAGGGTCAAGATCGCTCCGTTTGATCAACAAAGTTTTCAACAGTATTCAAATGCATAGAACGCCTTGGTTGCCATCGACCATATAGCAGCTATACGGGCCTCAATGTGGTGGTATGGCCCGAGTTCGAGCAAAGAGTTGTTGGTAGACTTGGTAGAAGGTAACTAAATGTAGCATCGAGGTAAATGTTGTACCTTATGACGACCATCCAAAATCTTAGACGCATCGAGAAAATCAAGTCTATTTCGACCAACTTATAAAAATCATTATTTTCTACGTAGACAACATATGTTGGTAGTAGTTGGATTGATTTTAACTTAGGTATAATCAGCAACAGCCCCACTCCCAAATCCTTGTCTTGCCAAGAACCAAGAAACYATTTCATATTAGGAAATAAAAAAGTAGGAGTAAAAGAGCTAGGAAATCCATAAAAAGCAGACCCATCCTATCGTCACTCCAATTAGTATTTGTCAAACTTTATGCTTTGCTGTCAATGCTCATGGGCTCAGGCTCCTGTTTCGCTGCTCCCTTCTGCAGATAAGAAAAGGGTCAAGGATATAACCAACATATATAAACCACATAGTACCGAAATGTGACTGGGCTAGAAGAAGAAACTCACATTGGCCTCAAGCTGCTCTAATTTGCTCATTCTAGCAAACATGTTACCGTAAAACTTGGCATCCTTCTTGTTGTACTCCTTCACCTTCTCCTTCAAAACCTTGTACTCCAGCTTCACATCTCTGATTTCACCACAAAACCCAACACCAAATCCATTAACAAAAAATCACAGCAAAATTAAATGGATACTCTCATACTCGGCTCGTAACTGCTACATGTCATTACTGTTTGTATTAAAAACTTGTCACCAAGTAAATACCTATTATTTGGTTCAATTTCAAGAGCCTTCTTAATATCAAACTCAGCCAGGTCTAGATCTGCCAGCTGAATATATGCCTGAGCTCTCCTGTAAAGTGCTTTCACATTCCCACCGTCAAGCTCCAACACCTGAACCAACATACCCGTCTACATGTCTATTTTCCACCAGAAGTTTTCAAATCACAGAACCAAAAGTTTTTATAAGGAACCTTCCAAAGGAAGGGTTTAATTTAACCTTAGTGCAAAGCTTTTCTGCCTGCTTGTAGTCCTTGAGTTTCAGCTTACAGGCAGCATTATTTAGGTTACACGTGATCTTCAACACCTTAGCTTGCTTCTTCTCCTCTTCTCCAAAGGTAGAGTCATACTCTATAAACTTTGCAGCCTATAAATTACAGGAAAAAAAAAAAAAAAAAAAGACAAGTCAGAAATGGGAATCACCAGGTATCAAGTCAGGAGTTCAGAACAACCTAAAATTCTACCTTCTCGTATCTCTTGGATGCTCTTGCATATTTGCCTGCTTTGAATAAAACATTTCCTTCTTCCTTCTTATTCCCAGCAGCTTCAATTTTCTCCTCGGTGTTCATGTCCCATGACTCTTTCTCCTGAAGATCATTAGAGTTTTAACATACACTTCCATCCAGCCAATCACAAATGACAGAAAACAGTATATGCATTTTTTTGAGTGATACACATGAAAGGTCTTGCCCTCACCTTTACAAAGGAAACCATCTCAACCTCATAAATTAAAGTTGAGTTGGGAGGGACCACAGCCAATTGCTGCTTTGACTCGGATGAACCAAAACCATACTCCGGTGCAATTGTCACTAGTGCAACCTCACCCTTCTTCATGGTCATCACAGCTCTATCAAGTCCATCAATTACTTGTTCTGTTCAATAGGCCCAGTCCCAATGATAGTAAGCTAGGTGGCCAACAACATTATCAAGCCAGAAACCAAGGAAAGATAATTACAAGATAAATATTACCATCATCTGTTTTGAACTCAAATGGTTCCTCTTCGTCATGACCCTTCTTCAAGAAGATTGTTCCATCTTGCAGCTTCCCAATTAGTTTCACTAAAATAATCAAAAAAGAATTCAATAGTCATTTCATGATTTCTCAGCTCTCATCTATTATATATATATCAGGCTAGAGCCCTCCCCCTTTCAGACACATGGCATCCTATTAATTCAAGAAATAAGATTCAAAAATTGGGTAATTTCATTCCTAAAAATTCTCAATAGACAGTTATTTATTACCTTATTACATGTTTATCCATAGTCAATTAAATACAAATATATGGTCTACCCCAAAATATATGGTCTTACATAGGTATATCTTTTTCAAATTTACTGATTTTTTAAGCCAAATGTCTGCATTCATGCTTGTTTTAAGAACTCAACTAAATTTCTGTATCCATGTTTTACTATTGCAGAGGTTGGGTGCTGGAAAATAGAAGCCACAATGAATAGCATATTAAACTACAAGTTTTTGTGGATTTCAAAAAGAAACATTTAGGTAAGTCTCAGGTCTTGCAGTTGTTTTTTTCTTACCCTTTTAATGCGTCTTCCTATTGCAAAATTAGGCTGAAACAGTTGTTGGGTTTGGCATTTTCAGCCTATAATTGTTTGCTTTACAATTAAGAAAAAAACTTCTATTATCATTATTTGAATTCTCTTACTATTAACGTCTAATCATCTTATGATGCCATTTCCAATTTCCAACATCATTGCCAGTGTATTTTTGTTTGACAGTTACTGTTATACTGATTATGGTCTATCTACTATATATGCGGGCAGAGAAGATTAATGAAATGGACTCTTTTGACCTGATTTTCACATCATGTATGAGGGTCAACCCTGCCCATTAGAAATAAACTCGGCACTATGTTACCAAACACACTTGTATACTGTATCACAGAGATGTTTATTACCATTTAATATATGTTAAAGGGGAAAAGTTAATTCAATGATATAAAATGATTAAATAGTTGATGAAATACTAAAATGATTAAATAATAATAAATAACATAGATCAATAACATAACTTAACTTAGCTTATAATTAGTTAAATTCAAYACTGGATTAAACTTATTTAACTAAGTTTACTTAATTAGTATTAACTAAATCCAATTAGCTTTATAACATTTTCAGTTTAACTAACATACATCTTTTTTGGCTAGAGAAGCTTAATTCACTTGCAAATTTAATGTAGTCTGTTATAAGTCAATTACAAAACAAACCTGATTTAATTTCTTTAAAATTAAGTAAGGAACTCAAATCGGAAATACTAAATAAATAGTGGGTCACAAAAAATAATTGAATCCCATTCTTAATTCAGATAAAATATTTATTAATTATAAAGACTTTTAGTGGTATGATTTTCATTCTTTTAAATGAAATACTTTTTTTTATCAATAACCACAGAATTCATTAATATTGGAAAAATACTTTATTAATTACAAACTTGATTTAACTTTTTAGGAAGCAACTAATTTAACTTTTAAAAATAAAAATAAATAACTCAAAATAGATTTATTACATAAATAGTAAATGCCAAATAAAGTGGGATATTGTTTACGAATAAGTTCTCATTTAATATCTTAAATCAAATTAAAAACAACATAAATTAATAGTGGATTTCAAACAAAATAGGTCAGAAAAGATTGTCAATTACAAAGATGCAAGACCTATATTAGTTTTTTTAATTTATTTTTTATAACTAAATAGTAAACTTCAAACTGCAATTGTTTACCTTTAACAACAGTACGGGGGTCATTCTCTAGTGTAACATTTAAAGCAGAAAGAGCTGCAATTGTTTACCTTTAACAACAGTCCCATCATTGGGGCGCTCATAGCCCTCCCCTTCCTTGAGGATCTTCTTTTGCACCTTCTTGTCATCTGTTATCTCTGTTACTGTCTTCCAAGAAACCAACTCCAATGTTATTTGAAGCACAGAATTTGGGGGAATAGCACCTTCATCACCACAGGCTGGTCTGCCCTTTTCTCCAAATGCATCTGACCAAATTGAAAAGCATGGTAAGAAACCAAAATTAAAGTCCATGTATCAGAACAAGAGGCACAAAATATGCACAACTTACATTGTGGCTTCACTGTGAGAAGAACCTTTTCTCCCTTCTTCATTGTTTTAACAGCCTTTGCCAAAGCAGGACAGAAAAATCCTATTTTTAAAGAATACTTCCATTAGAAAATCCAGTAGAGAAGTAYGAATTTATATTTCCAGAAAACAAGAAAAGAAACAAACCAGTTTTGACAGTGAATTCAACTCCATCAGATTTTGAAACCACAGCTCCACCCTCAAGCTTAGCTTCATATTTAACTGCATTAGGAAGTGAGGCAATGTAAGAACTTGATAAACTTCCCAAGTTAAAACACCAAAATAGACAAGAAAAATTAGATCCAATATTACCAAACACTTCATCCGGGTCCTTAGGATTCTCCCATTTCTCCCCTTCAGTAAGGATCTTCTTAAAAATGCCTCCGTCCTTGCAAATATCCTTCACACTACTCCAAGACAGCAACTCAACGTCAAATTGGAGGGTTGCATTTGGAGGGATGGTTGGTGGGGAACCAGATGCACCATACGCCAGATCCGGAGGAATGGTAAAGATGGCATTCTCACCCTTCTTCATTGTTTTGATACCCTGATCCCATCCCTTAATCACTTGCCCTATAATTGAAGGGAAAAGAAATTAAAATAAGCAATTAAATCGTTCTAATTTAAACATTACAAGGTGAAGTACAGCCGAGCCAAATTTCAAGTAATGATTCCGATGGTCCAATGTACCAAAGTGGAATGCAGTGGCAAAGAACTTCTGGGTTACAACACGTAAATACCCAGAATATAGGCATGGTATCAGCTCCCTAACCAACATATTGCATCACATGCTTCTGGTTTTTATATTCCCTTTGATTTCCAGTCTCCAAAGCACACCAAATTAAGACTTAAACTGTGTTAGACTTAGAAGCAACAACCTGGTAGGACAGTAAATTTGATTCTTTTTAAGGATATACTAGGTTCAAGCCATGTAGCACAGTGACCAGGTTTCCAATCTTTGTAGAACTCACCTGGCTCTGTCATTTGCGAATCCAGTTCAGCACACTCAATCTTTGTAGAAGTTTGAACTCGCATATTCCTTCCCACCCCTCTCACTCCATCTATTACGCTGTCAACTAATAGTTACTAATCATCTTTCCTTGGACCTTATGGACTCAACGGCATAAGAAAGTAGATTCTACTTCACATCAGAAACGAAAACACTTCCATGGGAAGGAAATCCAATAGCCAAATGTACTTTCTGCAGGTTTTAGTCGCTTTATGAAAAGCGAATGTATTTAAATAAACTCAATCAACATTCAGGGAAAGTCATGTATAGATCACCCATTTTTAATCACAACCGAACAAATTTGCAATAACGAAGGAAATATATTGAAAAATCCCCAACGAAATAGACAACAAAACCAGCAACCAAAACCTCAATCAAACTCATCAACCACCGAATACAACATTTCCTTCATTAAATCCGAAACAAGGAGACCAGATGCCAAACGGAAAAAACAGCATACCTTGACCCAGTGTGAATTTGAATGGTGTCCCCCTATCCCGGCTCGAATCGAACTGGGTTCCGTCGAGCAAGGTCCCAATGTAGTGAACTGCAAATCAACATTGGACACGTCAAAATCAAAATACTCATTTCGCCAAAATCACAAAATAGAAACAATTCCCAAAGAATGCACAGGAAAATAATCGATCAGATACCTTCGACTTCGTCTCCATTGTCAGGGGTATCCCAACCTTCACCTTCCTTSACAAGTTTCTTCTTCAAACCCTGTTTTCCGATCTCTTTCTCCTCTCCAACTTTGAGAACCGGGCTCTCGTCAGGGAGATCCATGTCCTCGTTCATCTCCTCAGCAGGTGGCATATCGAAATCCTCATCCATGACTTGCACAAGAACTTAGACGAAGAATAACAGACGGAGCACGAGACACCGACAACGTAAGGTGTCCACTCTTCTCAGCTAAAAGAAATGAAAACAGAGAACGAGTTCTTAGCAATGGCGAACAATGGGAACTGTTGTTGCTCTCGACGAAGAACCAATTGCAGGGTTGAGGCAAGCCTCTGAGAAGAAGGGTTTTTATGGTGATAAAGGTGGGAGTCGTTTAGCTGGGTTCTAGAGAGTTCGGAAGGGTTTTAGAGAGAGAGTCAGATAGAGAGAGAAAAGACTTGCGGAGGGTCAGGATAGTTCCAGAGGGATCTATTGACAATTTAAAGTGTTTCTCGATATTCGTGCAGATGGGTGTGAGGGTTTTGGGTGTGAGAGTGAGAAATTATTACCTACTTTGATGCCATATAAGAAAACCATGTACCTTCGCTCTTATCAAATTGAACGGCGTCAATCACCGGTAGAATGAAAGATCTGGAGCAATCAGAGTCCATCTTCGCGAATTACTCTACCTTGCACATCCGAGTTTTCATCTGCCCCACCTAATATACAGATTGCGRCCCAAAACGTCCTACATGAACATCTCAGCGTGCATCGAGAACATCTCCCGTATTTGTCATTGGGAGATATTCCCAATACACCATTGGAATATTTTGAATATTTTGTGGAACGTTTTTGGGGCAATTCGTGGGGTAGACTTAAACTCGAACTGTTGGCATAATATTAGATGTGGACACATATCCATATCCCATTTTTATAATTTATGGTATGTTTGGTTGCCGAAAAAAGGATGGAAAGAGAAGAATCGTTGAAGAATATTTGATTTTTCTRTTGTTTGTTTTGAAAGAAAAATTGGGATGAGAAGAGAAAGGCTTGGGATGGGGTTTCCCAAAATCTAATAAGCGAGTCACACCAAAATGGTGAGACCCCATTGAAAAAGGAAAATAGAGGCCTTTTGTGAGAAAAATTTGTTGAGCCAACAACCCAGAGAGTGTCGTCTTCTTCTCAGACGCCATCCAATGGTCATCTCACCGACACCATCTCC